GTAGCTCAATTGTTAAGTGTCCCTGGATTCAACCCCCAGCACCAAAAACATGAGCCAGCCATGGGCTGTGTGTGGGAGCTATGCGCATTTGAGCATATGAGAAAACTGGACTGACATTGCTGTCTGATTGGGCTGTGCCATGTATGAGTGCCTTTTCGCTCACTCTGCTGTGATCCCACATAGCACCTGAGATGGGTATGGCTTTCCAAGATGTTGGTCAATCTGCTGGCCACAAGACATCACCAAGCAATCCCCTGAAACCCGACCCCTTGTTCTCTTATAATAGTACCCTTTTGTCTTACTTGGATGGAATATTTTATCAAACAGCTTTCCCCAATAAAAACCAGGGTTGGGGCGTGCTCTCTCTTGCCTGTCTCTCTTGCCTCCCTTTTGGGAGCTGAGGCCGAGGAGCCATCACTGCACTTCAAAAAAGTTATTTTGTGTGGTTTTTAGTCACCAGCCCAATTCACACAGAATGAACCTGATTTAGTCACATGTTGCAACACCCACAAAATAGACAAATGGTATATTGATTATTTCAAATTGAAATCACTAGAGGAAGTGTAACTTCAGGAAAGGGCTATTTGATCTGTTTTTTCTTACATGCAATAAGCCATAGAGATTCTTTGTGAAATGATGCCCTTCACATACCAAGGCCAGAAAATAGCCTTAATCACCAGAGACTGGTAATGGCGGGGTGGGGGGGAAATTAACCTGAATAAACAAACTATGAAGTAACCCTTGTCTTCCACTAGCTTTTTTACCCCACCCCATACATCCCCAAAATTTACCTCCGAGTCCATATAGCCATTTGTCCTGTCATTACTTCACAAATTTATTGTTCTTTGTTTAAGAAGTATAAAAGCATCGTGCTTTAGGCGTTTCTTTGGACTTCACTTTCTTGTGAAGATCCCCAAGTACATGTAAATTTAATAAAATCGTTATGCTTTTCTCTTGTTAATCAGTTTTGTATTAAATGGGTTCCTAGATCCAGCCAAAGAGCCCACATAATAACTAAGAGGGGGTCGAGGGGATCTCTCTCTCCCCTATACCCTCACATAGCTTGTAAGTAGTAAGTCACGTATATCTAACCACAGGGCCTGTATTCTTTCAGGGGCACAGTCCTCCTGTGTCTAACTGATGAGAATAATCCACATGAACAATTAAAGAACAATAAAGTACTAAACAATACAGTATTAAGATTGGAGGAGTTTAGAAAAGGGGAGCACTATTTGGAATGTCCTGGTGCTGAAAGAGAAAATACACTGAATATACTATTCCAACTGGGCCCTGGAGAAGGATGAGATATGACCTGGGCAGCTGAGAGAGTGAATGTTAATGAAGCCAGAGCAAAAGCACAGAGATGGGAGTGGTGTGAAACTTGTTCCACTGAGAATGAGCAATGAACTGAGGTGGACAGAAAATAGAAAATGAGGAATAATTTGAAGGGAACAAAAAGTTAAACTCGGTGACAGGATATATAAAGGTCGGGAAAATGTAAGTCAAAGATGGAGACCAAGATTCTTTCCTTGGGAAGAGATAGTCACTGAACAAAGATAGAACTTATAATGGAGTCAGATCATGCATATATTTAACATCTGCAAAGTCAACTATATGTACTTTGTGAATGAGTAAAGCCAGGAGAGGAGTAATTTAAATAATGCAGGTGATTCTGCTCAACATTTCATCTGGACAGTATCTGCTCTGGGGTGAGGAGAACTAGGAGCTGGGATCTGCTGTGCCGTCAATGAGTCTCAGTTCCTGTCACAGGGTGAAAGTCTTCTGCTATGTTCACATCATGATCCTAATATTCAAAGAAAAAAAATTTTTTCATGCAACAAAATTTTTAAAAGTAAACCAACTACTTATTCTGCTGCAAAATGAAAGGAATAGGAGGATAAAGAGGAGAGAAAGAAAAGGCCTCAGTTGTGGGGAGAAGAGCCATCATTTGCCGTGCTGGAGAAAATTTGTACTCTGTGCAGTTTTTTTCCCTGAAGTCTGACTTTAGTCCTAAACCATTTGGTAAGATGCAACTCCACTGCAATTTGCAAAGGAAAGTATCCTTTAGGATGCCTTGGGTTGAGAGTCAAAGAAAACTCAACTCACACTATCCTAAAACAGTAAAGGATAATAATTGCCTAATCTGTTAAATCCAGATAGAAGATGATCTTCGGGCAAGTTCTGATCCAGTGGTTGAATAGTTTACTGAGGTTCTTTTTCACTATCTGCCCAGTCCATCTTCCACGGAGAGCTTCATCCTAAAACTGGCTCTATTTATAAAGTGACTGCCAGCACTAACCAGAACTGCTGGCTGTATATTACATACCCAGTGAAAGAGGGTTTCCTCAGTCAGATAAAGGCCTGGGCTTCCTCTGATTAGACCATATCTAGTCAGATGCCATGTCTGAACTGGAGAGGATGGGACAGGATTATCCTACTCGTCATGGAGAAATCAAGGGCTTACCTGGAGATAGGGGTTAGGTCACTGTCAATTCAAAATGTGTATCTAAGACTTCCTCTTAGGGGAAAGATAATAGCTCATGCTAAGGAGACAACTTTTTTTTTTTTTTTTGGTATTGAGGATTAAACCCAGGGGTACTTAACCACTGAGTCACATCCCCATTCCTTTTTCATATTTTATTTAGAGACAGAGTCTTGCTGAGTTGCTAAGTGCCTTACTAAGTTGCTAAGCCTGGCTCTGAACTCACGATCCGCCTGTCTCAGCCTCCAGAGCCGCTGGGATTGCAGGCGTGCGCCACTGCGCCCGGCTGAAAAAATATTTTTGTGTTGGTAAGTAGGGAAGATGAGGAGCTTAGTTCAGTACACAAACATTTATTCAGCCAACATTTTGAGTTACTGCCCTGGGCTGGTCACTGTGTCAATTGGGGTCACAAAAATGAGTAGAACATGAACTCTTTTTTTTTTTTTTTATCAAGTAAAAGAGATGAACACTTTGTTCAAGGATAAAACAACCTTTAAGAAGCAGAAGATGGAGCAAATAACTACACTCCAGTCCCAAGACTTTTTTTATATAGGTTTATTAGATTTTATTATTGTTATTAGGGGCTAAAAACCTCAAAGATCAAACTGCCCAGAGCTGGAAAACACAGGGCCTCAGAAGATATTTTAGGACTTAGACCCTGAGGAAATGTGTTGTTCTCACACACAACAAAGGTATGGACTGCCTGAAAACACCTTTATTGCCTCTTTCTGTTTTACATATGAGATTCTCCATGCCAATGTTTTGTTTTGTTTAAGTTGATAGGTTGGTTTTTTGGTTTATTTGTTTGGTACCAGGAATTGAATGCAGGGACACTCACAATCACTGAATCACATCGTCAGCCATTTTTATACTTTATTTTTACTTATTTTGAGACAGGGTCTTGCTAAGTTGTTTAAGGCTTTGCTAAGTTTCTAAGGGTGATTTTGAACTTGTGATCCTCCTGCCTCAGCCTCCTGAGATTTATCTGCCTCCTTCAAAATTCAGCTAGCAAATAAATAAATCCAGTTATCTTATGTAGATGGGCTCATTCTTCTGATACGAACTGGGATTGCAGGTTTGCACCATGGCACCCACCTTTATATTTTCTTTGAGACGGGATCTCAATAAATTGTTTAGGACCTAAGTGAAGTTTTTTGAAAAAAGAGTTCCTCCGATAAATGAATACAAACCACTGATCTAGCCCAATGTGTTCATTTCACCAAGAGAATTGGAGCTCATAAAACAGAACCAGTTTGCCCAAGTCATGCATCTTATTAACAACTAAGCAAAGATAAGAACTCAGTGGTCCTGACTCTCGGGCTAATGCCCATTCCATCAACTTACTAGGCTTCAAGAAAGATATTTTAGGACTTAGACCCTGAGGAAAATTTGCTAGTGACAAATAGATTATGATAATCAGTGCCCAATGATGAGAGAATCTGAAGAAATCAGAACTGAAATTAGGGCTGAGAAGGGTAAAGGATGAACTTCAAAAAGTCAGGACTGTCCCCTCCAACTTCAAAAAACTTGGAATGAGGGTGCAGGTGGCTGGTTGGGTTTTCTCCTGCAAGGTAACAGACATACAGAAAATTTGACTCCAACCAAGCTGAGGGCCAGGAGAAGTAGGCTAGAACCTAGCCTGGCTGCTTTACCCAGGAGTGGGTAGGACCAGCATGAACGAAGTGTTTTGTTCTCTTCTCTCCCACAGTAGCTTATGGCTAGGATGGAGGGAACCTTGGAAAAGCAGTTCCAATCGTTTTATAGACACGAATGAAAATAGAGAAGTAGAGAAGGGTGTTGGCAGGGGTCGGGGTAGGGGGTTCCATACTTGGAGGAAGCAAAGATGCTGCTGAAGCTCTTTGAAGATGTTTGAGCAAAACCCAGCATTAAGTGAAGAAAACCACTCTGAGATTTATCTGCCTCCTTCAAAATTCAGCTAGCAAATAAATAAATCCAGTTACCTTATGTAGATGGGCTCATTCTTCTGACACAAACTGTACCTGCATTCATTTCCTCTGCATGTGGGAATCTAATACACTTACTTGTCTGAAGGAGCCATTTATTCCTGCATTGTGAACTATCTTATTAGACTTATTCTCTGCACCTTAGTAAAACCTCGGCCACAGTGAGGCACTACTGCAGGACTTTCAACAACTCTGCCCAGGCCTAGGGACTCTTGGGACTATTGACTTTAAAAAAATAATAATAAAACAGAAACAGTACTCCGCCCTCTGGATAGCAGAAACCAACACAATGCATTCCTTTTCTCTTTGCTTCGATCTCCCTCCCTTCCTTCCTTCGTCTTTCTCTTCCTCTCCCCATCCCCTGTTCTCTCTTCTTCCTACATCAATTCCCGTTCCCTGTCCTAAGCCTTTACTAGTCCTCTGCTCTACTGGAACACTTGTGGAACAGGCAGAACAACGCCAGCCCAAAGGAACACAAAGAAAGCAGGCAAGCACATCCTCTTGCCACTACCCCTGACCCACCTGCTGCCAAGCACTTTCGCTGTCCCACTCAGGCCTCTTGGGATGGATATCACCCGCCTACTTCTGGCCACCCTACTGGTCTTCCTATGCATCCTCGCTGCTTACAGTCATCTGGCACCTGAGGAGGAGCCCAGAGATGACGGGAGCCTAAGGAGCAACTCCTCCATGAAAGTACTGGATATCCCTTCTGTCTCTATTGTGGGTAAGTAGCCAGGCGTCCAGCCTCTGGTATCTGGCCAATAAAAGGGGGCTTCAGGATGTCAAGCCTAGTCCCCAAGTTGTTACCAAAATTCACTACCATAGTCATGGGTCCTTCTTGTTCATCCTGTAAAACAGTCCTAGGGGAACAAAGTATCCTTTAATTCCTTGGGTTTGGGAAAGCCCTGCATGCAACCAATCTAAAATGCAGCTTAGCATGTTAGAAACTCTGAGAAACCCTGAAGTCAAGATGCTTGGTGAACTTTGTTCTAACAGCATTTCTGAAAGTTAATGAATCCCAGGACTCCTATCAATGGTAACAAATTTTAGGAAATGCTGGAGAATATAACCAAGTCTGGGATAAACTAGTCCTGCCATGGCAAGGTTTAGAATTGCTGCCCAGGGGAAAATATGAGGGGCATTAGAACCTGGCATTAGAGATCTGGTTTGACTTCATCTGATAATAGTAGACATGGGCTGGGGGAGCAGCTCAGTGGTAGAGTGTGCGCATAGCACGTGCAAGGCCCCAGGCTCCATCCTAACCAAAATAATAATTGACGTACTATGAGGTGGGGGCTGTTTTTATTTATATATCACAATTGAGGAAATTGAGGCTTAGAAAAATTAAATAACTAGCATAAGATCAGAAAGTTCTTAATTGGCAGAGCCAGAATTCAAACTCAAATGAAATGTTAAAGCTCAAAACTAATATCTCTTTATTGCCTTTGTCTCTCCCTAGGAAAAGAGGATATTCTAAACATATCAGGGGATTAAGGGCAGGGAAGGGAGGCAACACCAACATTGACTGATTATCTTTAATATGGCAAACTTCACTTTATAAACACACTCATTTATCCCTGCAAGATAGGTAAATAGAACCCTTTCGCAGATGAGAAAACTGAGTCTCAAGGAGGTTAATGAGGTAACCTCACCTGTTGCATGGCAGGTTCTAAGGCTGTTATATGACAGAATCAGAATTTAAATCAGATCTGCCTGGCTCCAAGCTCTGAGAAATAGAAAGTAGTAACACAGTTGTATCCAGGTATTGATATCCCATTATCCCATTTTCAGGAGATAACAATATCTTTCACCTGCCAGGTTAAAGACTAAAGAAGCACCTGGGGTAACTGAGTGGTGAGGGCTAAAAAGGTCAAAAGACCAGGCCTCTCATGGATATTACAGGCAGATCCCAGAGCCTCCTCAGATTTCCTGTTTGCCTTCCTCAGAGTTCACTGCCCTCAGTTCCTGGCTCCAGGTTAGCAGCCAGGCTAACAAGAACCTGCTGCTGAGTCCCATGATGTGATTCATCCAGCCAAGGCCAACCCCTCCCCCTCCCCCACCCTCTGAGGCCCTCAGCTCCTTCCATTTTACTGCTGTAAAAGGGTCCCCGGAAACATCTGGCTTTGTTCCTTCTGTCTCTCTTTGAAGCACTGAACAAGAAATCCAAAAAGATCAGCAGAACAGAAGCAGAAAAGAGGACAAGATCTTCCAAGGTAGGCCTGAGAGTTTTCATTGTGGGGGAGGGTGGATCAGACTTAAAAGGGAAGGACCCCTAAGCCGTGGTTAAAAATGAAATAAAACATTTTCAAGGCCTACATTAACCAAAGAACTCAAAGCTACCTAAAGGATTCCTGGCGTAGAGTCCTCAGGCCCCCCGCCCCCCACAGAAGCCCAGGGAGATGAAGTTCACTGAGCAAAATTGCTTACCTACTGAAAAGCATCTTCTGATGCTGATTTAGCCCCTTGTCTGAAAATTCACTATTGCTCAGTCTTTTCCAAGGGGTTATTTCAGAATCACTTCCACAACCTTTGCCATATCTGAGTTTTACCTACTTATTTCAAATCAAAACTTTTAAAAATACAGAAAGATAATAGAAAAACAGTATCACTATTAATAGAAAAATAAGTGAAAATAAAATATTGTTAGTGAAGTCTCACTGGATGGTACTGTCTACTAAATGCTCTAAATCTGAAGCCTGATCTCTGTGTTTAAAAAAGCAGATAGTGTTAAAGAAACATTAAGTACATATTAGCATCCAACTGAGCCTTTCAAGTTGAGATATTTAAAAGAATCCTTTCTCATTGTATGATTCAGGGTCATTTAATATTCATGTCTCACCTCAAATCACTGCACCATAATACAGGTCCCCACACTTTGGGAAACACTGGATGTACACATTATCCTGTTTTAATGTGCCTCCATTTATCAGATCAACTGAAACCACAGCAGAACCAGTGGGCTAGGTATAGAGAGGTAGAATCTGGCATACTGTGTGATCTTGAGAAAGTCTCTGCTTCTCTGGTCCTGTTTTGATGGCTCTAGAGGAATGAGCAGGTCAGATGACTGACAGATAATATATAATGGACTAATATATTTACATGCTAGGTACTAGGAATATACAGTGAACAAAAAAGAAATATCCCTGCTTTCACAAAGGTTACATTTTTGTGGGGAAACAAGTGAACAGCAAGTAAATAGAGGTAAAATAAATTCAGATGATAAAGGCTGTGAAGAAATTAAAGCACAATGATGAAAGAAAATGAAGGGAAGACTAGTCAAAAAAAGGCCTAAAGAAAGAGCACTGAAATAAAAACTCAATAACCTAGAGCAGCAATGTCTAATGAACAATGAGGGCCATATATAGAAGTATAAATTCTCTAATAGCCACATTAGAAAAAAATAAGAAACAGCTGCAATTAATTTAATAACAGCCCATCGTATTTAAAATATTAACATTTCAACATTCAATCAATTGTAAGTTACTGAAATATTCATTTTTTATGCTAAGTCTTTGAAATCTGGTGTACAGTATAGCTGATGCAGCACATCTCAAATTCAAAGCTAAATCTTCAACAAAGTAAAATGTGGTCCTGATAAAATAAACCTGTGTTTAATGGCTAAAAAAAAAAAAAAGAAAGAAAAATAATAAGTTTTTACAATGCTTCCGTTTTTAAATTAATTAAAATTAAATAGCCAGGGGTGGGGACACACTTCTGTAATACCAGTGATTCAAAAGGCTGAGGCAAGAGGATCGCAAATCAGAGGCCAGCTTTGGCAATTTAGCAAGATCCTCAGCACTTTTGCTAGGCCCTGTCTCAAAATAAAAAATAAAAAAAAGGACTGGGGATGTAGTGCAGTGGTAAAGTGCCTCTGGGTTCATTCCCCAGTGCCAAAAATAAAAAATAAAGACTGGGGGTGTGATTCAGTGGTAGAATGACCCTGGGTTTTATCCCCAGTACTTGAAAAAAAATTTTAATAGAAAATTAAGTTCCTCAGTTGCATTAGACACATTTCAGTACTGAGTGGCTGTGGCTACTTGTACTGGATAGCCAGCAAAGAATGACCCCCAGGCAAGAAAGTAGCAAGTTCAAAGATCCCACAGCAAAAATTCATTTGCTGTGTAGTCAGAGGTCTGAGGCCAAAGGGGAGTGTGCTGGGCGCACACCTGTAATCCCAGATACTAATGAAGATGAGGCAGGAGGAAGGCAAATTGAAGAGACTCCACCTCAAAATAAAAATAAAAAAGCAGGGGGTGTAGCTCAGAGGCAGAACGCTTGTCTAGCATAACTGAAGCCCTGAGTTCATTCGAAATGCAAGAAGAAACTACCAGAAGGCTTTAAGCTGGGGTGGGATGCGATCTTAGGTCTCCACAAGGTTCCTTCAGTTCCCTGAAGGATGAACCGTAAGGGGCCAAAACGACAGCGGGGAGAAGATAGTGGCCGGCCCTGGGTATCCGCGGTGAGAGAGAAGTGGGGGAACTCCGGATCTACTGTGAAGACACAACTGTGGATAGGGAAAGGGACTGTGGATAAACTAGTTTAAAACGATGGAGCTGAGTAGGGTCCTCTAAGGAGAGAAAAAGGCCAGGCCAAAGCCAGGTAAGTCTGGACAGGGATCCAGAGACAGAAGGGGTGACCTGATTGGGGGAACGGGCAGGGACCAGCTGCGGTGCTCTGTGAGCATGAGTAGAGCGGTCAGTGGCGGGGGTGTCTGGCCCCGAGGCTTCATAGCCCCGAATTTTCAGGCCGAGACGATAAGCACGGCAGGCATGGCCAGTTCCAGCAGCCCGGCATTTCCCCTACAGAAAAAGGCTCCGATGAAGAAGGTAGCGCGGCCCCGGCCCCCTCCGCCCACGCCCTGCGTGGCCGCCCGCGACAGCTGCAAGTCGCCGTCGCCACCCTGCTGCGACCCGTGCGCCTCCTGCGTGTGCCGCTTCTTCGGCAGCGTCTGCTCCTGTCGCGTACTCAACCGCAACTGCTGAGTGCGTCCACTCTCGGCTGCAGGAGGGGAAGGGCGGGGCTTCCGGGGCGCGGATTGGGTGGGGCTTCCGGGAGGGAGGGCTTCAAGGGCGGGGTACTCTAACAAAGTGTACCCTTCTGGGACTAGTGCGGGCGTAGCTATTGGGATTGGGCCAGGGTTTTCAGGAGGCGGGACTTCACGGAGTCAGATTTAAGCTAAAATCTGAATATAGCATTTGTCGGCTGCTCGAAGTTGTGTTGCTGTTTCTTTAAAGAACCAGAAAGCTCGCTATTCCTTGATCGATCCTCCCACGCTGCGAAGTCCCACGGAATGCGCAAGCGCTACTTTCCTGGGGTGGGAAAGCCCAGTTAGCTCGGCTCACTGCTGCACTCGGATACTCGCTTCTCCACCCAACCTCTGAGCACTGGGAACACCGAGGGAGTGCAGACCAGGCTAGCAGAGAGAGCTATCAAGAAGCCCCCTTTCAGTCTTTAACCTTTTCTAGTTCTAAGAAGCTCTCCTCAGTGCCTTCTTCCTCTCTTCTCAACCACCCCCTAAAGAATATAAGAAATGTTAGAACTCCATGCAGTCTCACTGGGCTGTTGGTTCAGCGGAATTTGCGGACAAAGATGGTCGGCTGACTGTGACTGGATGTTTGCTGAGGTTTCAACGCCAAAAGGCTCAGGGCTGAGGACCTTAGAGGCTTAGGAGGCTCCCAAAGGTGCCACTGGAGCCCACTCCTCTCTCTAGCTCTCTCTCTCTCCCACAAGGTATTGGGAGCTGGGAAGAGTTTTCTTCCACCCAAAGCTAAATGAATATTGATGTTGATCCCCAGGCATTTTTAACTCTGGAGGCCGAGAGGGTTTGGGCAGAAAGCAAGGATTTCGGGATCTCGCTGGCGCGCTGGTACACGCCTGTAATCCCTCGAAGGCTGAGGCAGGAGGACCGCAAATTCAAAGCCAGCTTCAGCAACTTAGTGAGGCCCTAAGCAATTCAGCGAGGCCATGTCTCAAAATAAAACATGAAAAGGGCTGGGGATGGGGCTCAGTGATTAAGCGCCCCTGGGTTCCAATCCCGGTACCCCCCAACCTCCCAAAAAAGGACCCCCTCTTCACTCCCCACCCTAGCTGTATCAGCAAGTATGGAGGCAGTGGGCCTGAGCTTGGTGTGTATTCAGCAATCATTGTGCTCAATTATCAAAGTGCTGTTGCCAAAAATATTGCAAGCTGTTCCCTGAAATTCCACAAATGTAAGAATGTGAGAAACTGAGGTGCAGCTTTCAACCTCAGGACTGCATAGGCTCCGGGGTACTGTTTTCAAATCAAAAAAAAAAAAAAAAAAAAGAACTTTTCTCCTTACTCCAACAGCAGAATCATCTGAGAGGGTTTGGACATTTTATTACTCACGTACTGGGGAGGGTGGAAAGCAGGACAGGATAAAATAGAGGGCTGCAGCAGGCTACAAGCAAGGAGAATATATAATATGGTTGCCTGCCTACTGCACAGATGGATTTCTTCAGATGTTTTATAAGTACATTCTTTTCTAAAAAAAATATTTTTTAATTATAGGTATACACAATATCTATTTTTTTTAATTTTTATGTGGTGCTGAGACTTGAACCCAGTGCCTCACACATTTGAGGCAAGTGTTCTACCTCTGAACCACAACCCCAGCCCCTAAGAGTACATTCTTTTACCTTACAACCAAGGTCACTCTGCTTTGATCCTCACCTAAAGATTGGAGACAAGGGGAGTGCCCAGTTTCCCTTCTCCATTTCCTTCCTTTTAGCACTGTTTAAAGTCCTTCATTCCTAGGCACTGATTATGTTTACCCCAACAGCAGCATTGTATATTTGAAAACGCCCTGAGAGGGGAAGCACCTAGATACTGCTTTGAGGAATGAGGGGTCAGAGGAAGGAGCAGTGTCTATAAGGAAGTGCCAGCCAGGGTGCAGTGTGACAAGGAAATTCCCAGGTCCTTGGGAAGAAGGGTTCCAGCTGACATCAGCTACTTGTTCTGCGTGGCTGGAGGGAACCCTGCCAGTAGGGAGAAGAGCTGAGAAGATACCACTTGTCAGTGCCCCTTAACAGCCAGAGCCATTCCCCAATGGTGGTAATAGAAGATAACATTGAAAAGGGCCAGTGCCGTAAAAAAATCTAGAGAGAGGCCATGAGACAAGAAAACATGAATCCCTTACCTCACTGCTGACTAATCACCACAGATCTCTGAGGACAGACAGGCTCAGGGGCGAACATAAGTGGGACCACCTACCCTCTTGTCCACTTAATTTTTCCTCTTTCATCATTGAAAACTCCCTTCTTGTCCCAAACTTTTTCCCAGCTGGAGACCCAAATCTTGCCTGTAGTGACATAGCTAATATGGAAAAAATGAGCCAAGTACCTCTCTCCAAAAGACCCTGTCTTGGAGTGGTAACTACCTGGACAGATCCCAAAAGATGGGTACTCTCCAGGCTAGGCAAGACAACTGCACACTGGGCAAGTCTTTGTGTCTTTTTGAGCTTCCATTTACTTGTGTATAAAATGGAAAATAATCATTCCTGCTGTTCTCGTTATAAATCCAAGGTATGTTGTTGTTTTTCTGTGCCTAACACAACAACCATGCACACCCACACATAGAAGCTGCCAGTTGCTTATTTTGTTTTCTGTCATTTAGGCTGTAAGCCCACAGGGCAAGACTCTTTTGTCCCTTGTACCATAGTTGTTGCTGAGTAAATGTCATCAATAATAAGACTATTGGGAGCATATTGCAGCAACTGCTCCTGTGTTTTCCAGACACTGTTCACCAGCCAGGCCCCATTTGGCCCCCAGGGTGAGGTTGGGGAGGCACAGCTAAAGATTGAGTGCATCAGTAACAATGCCGTTTAGCTGCTGGATACAGACAGCCTCAAACAGAACTAATCCATCCATTCATTATTCACTAACTGTGTACAGGGACCTACTGTGTACCAGATGCTACAAATACTGTGGAAGAAATCAAACATGGATGCTTTCCCTATAGAGCTATGGTCCAGTGGCCCATGACCATTGGCCCTTGCTAAAGGTTAAAGCAATTGTTAGTATGATTTCTTCTTTCAGACTCTTGCTTCTGTTGACTCAGATCCCTAGTTTAGTATTTACCTGCCCAAGTTTCCCTTCTGTTTGAGATCCTGAGATTCTTGTACATTTTCAGAATTTCTCATCAAATCTTAGGGTCCTGGGAGCATGATTCTGGGCCTCTGCAAAACTCTGCCCAGTTTGATGAGTTACAGTTCCATTGTTAGGAGGATCAACATCATTATTCATCCTTTCACCACCCCCTCCCCGTTACACACACACACACACACACACACGCTAGAGCTGGGCAAGTACGCTAGCATCGAGCACTGGCCCCCTCTTTCACACACAGGGTGAACTCTGTCCTGGAAAGCTTTGCTTTACCTTTATGACTATTGATTCATAATCATTTCTTCCAGCCTTAAATTTGTACCCAGAGTTTTCACAGTGTGGCCTTTAACAAGTCACTTTCAGTGATACCAATTCCTGTTTATAAAGTGAGGATTAAATCAAAGTATTTTGGTTAGTGTAAGGTTGTGGGGAAGGTGAGAGGTTATCTACAGGACAGGTTTGGAGATCTCACAGGAAAGCCTAAGGGGTGCTAGAGAAGCCAAGTGGCAGAAACCAATGGACAATGTCTTCACAGCAAGGCCACAGGGATAAGTCAGCTTCAACCTCTTCAGTCCTTGTACTTGACCATTTAGAATTCCTCTTCCCAGCAGTCTGATTGACTTGACCTGGTGCCTAGGAAAGGGTGGTCCATCTTGATTGACAATTGACAATTCCAAAAATCCCTGTGTAATATGTAATAATTCTCCAAGTGAAAATCACGGATATGGTTCCTGTGGGGAGCAAAATCCATAATTGGCCCTAAGAGGGGCTAGACTCTTCAATCTATTGAGGACGTTTCCAGTTCCAGAATTCTGACATATTCTGAAGCAATGATTTTCAAATATTAAAGATGCCAGGGCTAAGCATGTAGCCCTGAGATGTTGCCCTGATTTTTTCCCCCCAATGCTGGAGATGGAACCTAGGTCCTCATCCATGCTGGGCAAAGGCTTTACCACTGAGCTAATCCCTCAGCCCCCAGGTGAAACCTTATTTATTTATTTATTTTTGGTGCTAGGGATCAAACCTAGGGGATTCACATCCCCAGCCCTTCTTTTTTGAGGCAGGGTCTCACTAAGTTGCTTGGGGCCTCATTAAGTTACTTACGCTGGCTTTGAACTCTTCCTGCCTCAGTCTCCCAAACCACTGGAATTACAGGAATGCACCACTGCACCTGGCCTCACACTAAGCATTTTAAATTAGTATGTTATGGGGCTAGAGATGTGACTCAGTGGTTAAGTGCTTACCTAACATACGTGACATACTGGGTTCAATCTCTAGTACTGAAAAATAAAAACATAAATTAGAGCCAGGTGCGGTGACTCAGGAGGTAGGAAGATTGCACATTGAGGTGACTCAGCAAATTAGCAAGGCACTAAGCAATTTAGTGAGAACCTGTCCCAAAATATAAAAGGAGCTGGCAATGAGGCTCAGTGGTTAAGTTCAATCTCAAGTACAAAAAAATAAAAATACCTCTTCACATAAATATTATCATTTGAACACCAAAATAACCATCTGATGTAGATTTTTTTTTCTTTTTATATCAGGGACTGAATCCAGGGTGGTGCTTAACCACTAAGCCACATCTCCAGCCCTTTTTATTTTTTACTTTGAGACAGTCTCACTAAGTTGCTTCAGGCCTCACTAAATTGCTGAGGCTGGCTTTGAACTTGCAATCCTCCTGCCTCAGCCTCCAGAGCTGCTGGGATTACAGGCATACACCACTGCACCTAACCAAGGTAGATATTTCTATTCCTATCTCAAATAACATGATATATCAACAGCAGGCCCAGGTATTCTCCTTCCAAATCTCAACTCACTGCTCCATAAACCCCTAGGCTTCATCTACCCTTCTCCCTTTCCTGGAAAAAAATACAAGAG